CCTACCTGCAACATTTACTAATGCCAGTATAAAATTTGGTAAACAAATCTTTTTGAGCTTGTATTGTATGTTTGATGCTTATTATAGACTTTATATTGTTCCAATCATTTCCATTTTCTACATAAATTTGTATTTTATATTTACGTAGTTGACATTCAAAAGTGAATGGATTAAAATATGCGCAAAATAATCACAGTATTGCTCATTTTTTAGATATGGCACAGTGTTTTGTGAATAGCACTCCACCACTTTGGTCTGTAGGGGAGAGAGGGGCTACTTGCCACACTAGAATTTCTCAAGATTTATTAAAGTCAGTTTAGACAAATGTGTCACAAACAATAGGTACAGGCATACTAGGACCTGCAGACACAATAGGCAAGGCAAGGCAAAGCAAGTTTATTTATATAGCACATTTCACAATGGTAATTCAAAGTGCTTTACATAAAAGGAAGTAAAATAATAATAAAAAAATTATAATCACATAAAACAAGGAATTTAAAAACTTTTAAAATGATTTAAAAATGGATTTTAAATGAATTTAAAACAGTTAAAAATAGGAAATGATTATATATAAAATACAGTGCAATCAGTTTGGACGTCACACAGTGCTCATTCAATAAATGCACAGCTAAACAGATTAGTTTTGAGTCTAGATTTAAAATGTGGCTAATGTTTTAGCACGTCTGATCTCTTCTGGAAACTGGTTCCAACTGCGGGCAGCATAATAGCAATAGTCCACCCTGCTGGTGATAAAGGCATGAACAAGGTTCTCCAAGTCTTGACTGGAAACAAAACATCTAATTCTTACAATGCTTTTTAGATAATAGTATGCTGATTTAGTTACTATAGTTTCATAGCTTTGACATGACTACTGAAACTAAGGTCTGTCTCCAGAATCACACAAAGATTCTTGACTTGATTTTTAGTTGTTTGATCCCTTGAGTCAAGCAATGCATTCACCTTGAGAATTTCATCTTTGTTTCCAAATGCAATGACTTCAGTTTTCTCCTTGTTTAACTGAAGAAAGTTCTGGCACATCCAACTGTTAATTTCATCAATGCATTGGCAGAGGCAGTGGATGGGGCTGTAGTCACTTGGCGATAAGGCTAGGTAAATCTGGGTGTCATCTACATAGCTGTGATAGGAAATATAATTCTTTCTCATTATTTGACTTAGTGGGAGCATATGCAGGCTAAACAAGAGCGGTGCAAGAATTGAGCCTTGTGGGACTCCGCATGTCATGGACATCCACTTAGACTTATGCTCTCCTATACTCACATAATAACCTCTCCCTTCTAAGTATGACCTGAACCATTTGAGTACCATCCCAGAAAGCCCGACCCAGTTTTCCAGTCTCTCTAGTAGTATGTTATGATCGACAGTGTCAAACACAGCACTGAGATCTAGTAGTACGAGCACTGATATTTTGCCAGAATCAGAATTAAAGCGAATATAATTTATTATCTTAATGAGCGCTGTCTCTGTGCTGCGGTCGGAAACCAGATTGAAAATTGTCCAGGTGTCCATTTGAGATTTAAGTAGTTGTTCAGCTGATTAAAAACTAACTTTTCAATAATCTTGCCTATGAAAGGAAGATTTGATATTGGTTTATAGTTGCTCAATATGGTGTTATCAAGATTGCTCTTTTTCAGAAGGGGCTTAACAGCTGCAGTTTTCAGGGATTTTGGAAAAGTCCCAGAAAGAAGTGAGGCGTTCACCACTTCTAAGAGATCTGCTTCTAAACAGTTAAGCACACTTTTGAAAAAAGATGTGGGAAGTGTGCCAAGATAGCAGGTTGACGATTTAAGGTGCTGTACTATTTCTTCCAAAATTTTGCTGTCAATTGCTTCAAAAACAGACATAGTAACATCTTTTTGAAATTGCGGTCGAATCTGTCTGACCTCTGCATAACTTGAGGATGTGCTAATCGCCTTTCTGATATTATTGATCTTCTTAGAAGAGAAGAAAGCAAACTCATTGCATTTGCTGTCGGAGAGCATTTCACTGGGAATCTGACTTGGGGGGGTTTGTCAGTCTCTCAACAGTTACTGTTTATAAAGTTTGAAAAGAAGGTCTGTCTAGCTGTGGCTAGTTTCACATTGAAAGCATGAAGGCTATCTTTAAATATGCTATAGTGAATTTCAAGTTTCGTCTTTCGCCACATCCGCTCAGCTTTTCTGCATTGTCTTTTCAAACTCTGAACTGCTGTTGATTTTCTCCAAGGTGAGTTTTGTCTGCCAGTCTTCTTACTGACTTTTACAGGAGCAATACCATCAATAACATTCTTAACTTTTGAGTTAAATGAATCAAGGAGATCAACAGAGTCTGCAGAAATGCTTGGTGTTAAAGATATAGCCTCCATAAATAGCACACTAGCGTTCTCATTAATGCATCTCTTTCTGACAGAGACGGATCTAGATTCAGTGGTAGCAGAGATCAATATAGCAAAGAAAATACAGAAGTGATCAGATAGTGCTACATCCTTAATTAATAACAATGGATGAAATGTTTAGACCTCTACTGATGAGTAAGTCTAGAGTGTGTCCACGATTGTGTGTGGGTCCATGCTGAATCAGGTCAAAAGTGTTTAAAACAGTTATAATTTCTTTTGAAGTTTGGATTTCTGCATTATCTATGTGAATATTAAAATCCCCTGCAATAGCAAAACAGTCAAACTCTGAGGAAATCATTGATAACAGTTCTGTAAAGTCTTCAACAAAAGCTGGAGAGTAGTTTGGAGGCCTGTAAATAATTATAAACAGAATGCGTGAAGCACCTTTCAGCACAATCCCTAGATATTCAAAAGACAAGTACTGACCAAATGACACTTGCTTTCATTGATAGATATCTTTAAATGGAGCAGCTACACTTCCACCTCTCCTAACAGCTCTAAAAGTAAAGTTAGGAGGGGCTATTTCATTGAGGACTGTTGCACTGCATCTGTCTTCAAGGCATGTTTCATTTAGAAACATAAAATCCAGGTTGTTTGTGATTATTAAGTCATTGACTAGAAATGATTAATTTTTTAGTGAGCGAATGTTTAAAAATGCTAACTTGATGGCACTACTTTGTGTCTTTACAGCAATAGTTTGATGCATAATAGGCCGCAGATTAGATGGGTCAGCCGTACGGCTTGAGAAGGCCTTAGACTTTCTATCACGTGATAAAACAGAAATAGAGAAATCTACAGGCACACTGGGTTCCCGCTTGTTCTGTAAACATTTGTGAATGTTGCTGCTATCGTAGCGGGGACCCAACACATACCACTGTTACAATACACAAAATAGCTGCAAGACGTAAAGGATTGGAAATTCCTGAGAAACACATTTGATGTTCGGATTGTATGGACCATTTGGTTCACACCTTTACAGACAGAGAAGCACTTAATTGCATCTGGGGCAGATTCAATGTAACTGAATCTTATATTCTCACCATCTAAAAAATGCAACTGACATAATCTTTCAATAGACCATTTAATGGCTTTTTATCTTTTCAGAATTCACTCAATAAACAACAATAATAATAATAATAATAAATGTATAAAAATCCAAACGATTGTTTATGGCAAAATAAATTATAATACGTTTATTGTAAAATCTCAATTTGATCAAACATCAAACTATAGCCCTGGTAAGATGGACGGATCAATGCATGATTGAATGAATGAATAAAGATAATTGATTTCATATTGATTGTGCACTTTAACTTAACACTTAACTTAAAGGGTTAGTTCACCCAAAAATGAAAATTAGCCCATAAATTACTCTCAAGTCATCCCAGGTGTATATGACTTTCTTCTTTCAGACGAATCCAGTCGGAGTTATATTAAAAATTGTCCTGGCTATTCCAAGCTCTATCATTGCAGTCAGCAGGTGTTGCATTGCTTCAGTCCAAAATCAGTCCATAAAAAAAAGTGTCTCACACGGCTCCGGGGGGGTGAACAAAGGCCTCCTGTAGTGAATCGATGCGTTTTTGTAAGAAAAATATCCATATTCAAAACATAATAATCACTTAAATGTAGCTTGCGCCAACAGTTTTACACGGAAGCAGCTCCGGGAGCATGACGTATGAGTTCAGCGCTGTGCATGCGCTGGTGAGTCTCGTGAAAACCAACGTTTGTTTACAGGATCAAAGGAAGCAAAGTTTCCTTACTTTAGCAAAGGAAAACCAGTCTCCTCTTGGCTTATATCGAAATCCTCCGACATGCTTCTTTACAAATCCTCATTTAGTACTTCTAATTAGTGACCGTTTTTTTGTTTTGATCTCTCCGCTGCGTTTCCACGTTCGTCACTTCTGAATGGCAGCTTGAAAGATCAAAGACAATTTTTTATATAACTCTGACTGGATTCGTCTGAAAGAAGAAAGTCATATACACATAGGATGACTTGAGGATGAGTAATTTATGGGCTAATTTTCATTTTTGGGTGAACTAACCCTTTAACCAGGGTCCAGGGCCCAGTAGGGGGCCTCACACTTCCATTGTGTGCTTAAAGCAACTTGTATGTACAAAAGGGTGAAATGATTAATGGAAGCAACAAATGCTCCTGTAAAGCAATCCACTAATTATGACAGTGATATATTTACGACAGGGATTTCCACTTACTTAATTGTAGGGGGCTCCAACATTGCAAAAACTACACACAGTGGCTTTATGACATGAAATGACTTAAAACAAGTAAAATATATTTTTTTAATTAAAAAAAAATTCCTTATTCAGTAAATCACAAACAACAGAAAAAGTTGGTTGTCTTTTGAACATTGTTGTGGACAATGTAAAAATGGTTTAGAACTGCTGAATTAACCTTTAAATATACCTTCATACACTTAATCTGAATACTTTCAAACTCTTATTACTTTTTAAGTCCCAAAGGAAAGATGGATAAGTTTTAATACACAGTTTATGCCTAGAAGAATTTCTATGTAACATTAAAGAGGTATTACACTGATTCAACATACACACAGAACATGATGAATGGATCATTCTGGAGCTTTGAAATATGACCATAGCTGGTCTGGTGTGCAATTTCCTTTACCTAAAATGAATGTGTTAATATCCAGGGAATGATGGGAATTCTGAAGCTGGCAAAGATTGTGTTGTCTTTTCTAGGCCAAAGAGGAAATCTAGCTCCCACCCACCTTGTGTCCTTAAAAGTCTCCTCATAAATTGTGTGCGTCCTTTCTCTAGGTCTAATGCTTGTCCTCGCTCTCAGCATTACACAGAAATGACATCAGGTTCATTAATAGAGCTTGTTGTCTTTTCTATGAATGTATGAGCTGAATGAAACTAGACATCCGTCTGCTGGTTGCATGAAATATACCACTAGGTGGCATCCTCCCATCAGTTTTTATTTACACACGAACCACAGACAATAGGATTTTGATCGTTTTCCCTTTATTGTTTGAGAGTTACCAGCGTTATTTTAAAATATACAACATAATATAATCAACATTTTAATTATATATTTTATAAATGCATTACTTTTTAAACGAGATCCCATCCCAGTCAAGCCCAGACAATGCCTAGCCTAAAGTCGTTCATGCATAGCTTTGATGCTAATAGGTAATATTGGTTTTGAAAGATACCTCTGAATATGCAATTTTGGTCTAACCAGTGCTAGCTCTATTCAAGACCTTACAAAATGTGGTGTACCAAACTATTAATGAACAAAGAATACACAGTGCTTACTGTCTGCACACATATAAAAGTAACTCAATTGTTGGCTCATGTGTAGATGAGGTCATTTAATAATACCGTCATGGTAAATCATGCTAATCTGTCTTTTGTTTGCTGTGGAGCTTGTTAAGGCATTTAAATGGACACAACAGGACTTTATATCCCATAGTTCACTCCTTACACGGGACTCTCATGTGAAGCTCCTAACGGTCTGCTGTCAGGCATGGTCAATATATCTGAAACAGGAGAAGATCTGCCCAACAGCCAGAGCCAAGGACTGAGATCTGAATATCTAGGGCAAGTTCCACAAACACTCGCTCAATTGTGTCCTACCATCAGCGCTTAATGAGCGATGAAGTTATGGAAGTCATATGCCTCTGCAGTCACATGGAAGGGGGGAAAGAAGAGGGTTCTTAATTTCACGTCTCCATGTCTGCTTGTTTACTTCCTCCAAGAGCATCTTGAAATTGTAGACAATGCTCTTACTTGTTTGACTTATTAACTCCTTGTGCATGGGGTTTTCTTTATCTATGGCCATGAAGTGCAGCTGGTTGCTGGAAGCTGAAAAACAAAACAACTGTAACTTCAATCCTTCAGGGTTGTATATAGGTCTAGGGTAAACATAAATTAATGATGCAAAGGAATATATCTTAGCATGCTTAATCTTAGAAACCATGATACCTTCACTTTTCTACTTGTAAAATGGATATTTGTCAATCAATCTAAGAACTTTAGCAGTCCAAAACCATTTAAGACAGTATTTTGGGCGTTTTAAGACACCTAAATATTTTTAATATCAACTTATTAGATGATGGGAATATCAAACAGAGTTTAATTTGCAAACAAATTATGCTAGAAAAAAAAAATGCTTTTCTCTAAATTTTCAGCATCATTACTCCAGTCTTCAGTGTCACATGACTTCTAATATGCTGATTTGCTGCTTAAGAAACATTTCTTATTATTATCAATGTTGAAATCAGTTTCACTGCTTCATATTTTTGTGGAAACTGTGATGCTTTTTTTTCAGGATTCTTTGATGATTAGAAAGTTCAAAAGAACAGCATGTATTTAAAATCTTTTGTAACATTATAAATGTATTTACTGCTACTTTTGATCAATTAACGCATCCTTGCTGAATAAATGTAATCATTTCTTTAAAAAACTAAAATGACTCCAAGCGTTTGAACAGTAGTGAATTAAGTCATTTCCACTCAAGTTCACACAAAATAACTACATTAACATTACGGACATAATGTTGCACTATGTTTGACATTGAGAAAGTATCAAAATAGAAAACGTAGTTTGAACATTTTGAAACCTAACAAAGAATTATAATCTTTTGCTTGAAATGTGTGTTTGAGCAATCTATCTTTAAAAAAGCCACACAATTTGATGTTTTCTTATGTAATGCGACAAAATTCATTTTAAAACCACTTTCTTCAGTGTCCTAATGCATTTTTCTGTACAAGTTCCCAGAACAACACAAGGGGAAGGAAAACATGTAAACCTGATCATGAATTCAGAGTACAATTGTGCAATTGTCATGAACACCTGGACTCAGTTGACTGTTAAGTGGTAAACTAGTAAGAAATATCACAATCGGCACCTTTAAACACCAAAGGGAACAGGAAGGTCTCCAGTGGCTTCTTCTGAACATTTAAAGGAATCTAGTGATTACAATAAACAAAGGTTTTGTTAGTAATAATGCCATCAAACACAGAACATAAATGGAACATTTAGAAACATCCATGCAGTACATGAGTGGTGACCAACTTCTTTGCCTTTAAGATGGTTAATAAAACATTGTAACATTACTAACGTTTCACCAAGGGTGTAATAGTTTCTTTTTAGAAAGTAAAGTACTGTATAATTTTGTTCCCATGTGTAATCCAGCCTAGATGATCACCTTCATAATAGCAAGCCATATAATTACTTTCAAGGTTTAATGACCTGGACTCGAACAGCTCTACAAGTTGTAACAGCGGGTTTATTTGGAGCTTGGCATTAGCTACTCATCCAAAACAAAAAAGAAAAAGAATCATTCCTCATGTCTTTCCAGAAAAGGGCTTTAAACTCTCATTATGATCACATGATAAGGCTGACCATGGCTTAATTGGTGTAACACGATAGCATATTGCTGTGGCTTTCACACCCTGAGAGATGGATCTAATTGAAGTCTCTGGAGATCACAGCTAAAAGCCATATAATTACTTTCTAGGTTTAATGACCTGGACTCGAACAGCTCTACAGGTTGTAACAGCGGGTTTATTTGGAGCTTGGCATTAGCTACTCATCCAAAACAAAAAAGAAAAAGAATCATTCCTCATGTCTTTCCAGAAAAGGGCTTTAAACTCTCATTATGATCACATGATAAGGCTGACCATGGCTTAATTGGTGTAACACGATAGCATATTGCTGTGGCTTTCACACCCTGAGAGATGGATCTAATTGAAGTCTCTGGAGATCACAGCTAGCATATGGAGCTCCTCTCACTGTCTCCTACCTGGCAACTGGCACAAGAAAATAATCTCTAGTCTTTTTTTTTTCCGTCCCAGAACCTTTGAATTCAAGTAACAGAGTGTAGCTGGTGTTGTATCAGCTGACCTGCAGTCTCATGACATTAGTTACCATTTCTGGTTTTCTGCGACTATTTGCCAGTAAAGTCCACATGTCAAGAATGATTGTAATTGTTTTTCATGGGTTTTTCCATCCATTTTGTTCAAACTGCAAGACTGTTTGGATGGTCTGTCTGAATGAATGTTTGTTTTGGTGCGCTACTGATCCAACATGCTACTGCCAGTTTAGAGATGCCAGTTCATTTACTAAATGAGCGTTTATTCAATTAACTGTTGCCTCTTTGCCACAAATGACTTAGCTGTTGCCTTTGGAAACAAGTTCTTCACCAAAAGCACTGGAAAGCTTGAGGTGGCATTCAGAACTGCTTGCTTTTTTTGCTGACAAAAAAAATCTGTCACAAAAGGAATAGTGAATCATTACTGTTTTTTATTAATGAGATTTTGGTCACACTTTATTTCAAGGTCCAGTTTTTGCTATTAACAAACCATTAACTAAGACATTTGCCTCAATAAACTCCTAATTTGCTGCTTATAAATAGTTAGTAAAGTAGCAGTTAAGTTTTAGGGATATAGAATATGCTCTTGCAAAATATGTGCTTTATACTGTAAGTACTAATAACAATATGTTAATAGGCATGCTAATAAGCAACTAGATAATAGTGAGAATTGGTCCCTACTAAGGTGTTACCGAGATTTTTAATGGACTAATAAAAGCATTTTTGAATAATAATGTCCCTATATGTATCTATTACAGTTTCTTTACACAATCACCTTGGCACTAATATCACAATCATTTTTTTCAAATATAGGCTAGATATACACATAAACCCAAGATCATTTGCTTATTGAACCAAAATCCCCCGTTGACAACTTAACATCCAAGTATTACCATTTCAAAATGCAATTTACACATCTAAGATGACTGTTTATTCATTTCATTGCAATGATCTAACTATCACTTGAAACAACTGCTCAAAATGCTAAGTAACTGCTGCATTATTCCTAATGCATATTTTTATGGAAACTGGCCAACGATATTCCATGTTTAGATCATCATGAAAGTTTCATGATAACGAAATGTATTACGTGGAACGTGAACCAATTAGATTAGATTATCTATGGAGATAATATTTCTTCATCTTTCTTTTTCAGACACTGTTTATGGTCCCATGTACCCCTTTTCCAAACCATGTTTTCAGATGTTTACAGTTATCAAACCTTTATTTTGCCTTTTACATTAAGCCAGTTAAGAAGTTGGAAGAAGCACTGTAGTTTAAGTTTTACTGTACTGTAGTTTTTCTTTTTTTGTAGCTATTTTGTATGATTTGATTGTATTTCATACATACTGTAAATACTGACTCCAGTAGTATTCAATGTGTTCAATGAGATTGTCAGACAGCTAGCTATCCAGATAGCCAGACAGCCAGACAGACAGATAGACAGATAGATATGTGAAAATGACATGGATCTGTGATTGATACTTTCGTTTGATTTGACTGATGAGAGAAATGTCTGGACTTGTAGCATACAGTGAATCTTTTTTCTCAAACAGGCTGTTTCTCTGGGAGCAGTGACTCAAGTTGTAACCTGTCTCATCTGTTTCAGTCTACAAACTCTTCCCTGGCCTTGTCATATAAACATGTAAATGAAAGATAGGGAAGCACTGCATGCCACTGATCCATAACTGCCCTCTATCTTTACAGATGTTGTACATACTGTCATGTAATTTATCTGCATCTTGTCCTTCAATCTGAACCTATAAATCCATTCGGTGGGCAGAAACACTGAGGATGTGACTCAGAAATGAAAGCCATGTGCACTGGCTTCGTTTCTCATTTCCCCTTGAAAAAGGCCCAAGACACAGCAGCCACAAGAGCACACAGGAAGTAAATCTTCAAGGACTTCCACTAGTGAATCATCGCAGCGAGTTTCCCCCAAAACCCAAAGACTTACCACAGCTCCTCACTGTGAACGCAGACAAGAAAAATGGCAGCGATGAGACAAACATGCTAGCAAATTAATATCAGATGACTGCCAGCCACCTTAATGCATGAAGCTGGGCTCAGCTTTTATTCAAAATAGACATTCATTCAATTGGTTTGGCTGTGAGGGGGTGGCATGTGGTTTCAGTTAAGAGCTGAACTGCTAGGGAGCTTCGTCTAATGTGTGTGTATGTCTCTCTCTCTTGCTTCTCCCTGACCCCATGACTCATGACAGCATGGCTACACTCCTCTCCCACACAACAGGAGCATTACAGATATGAAGAATGCAGACTAATGGTTTGCCACGCGGTAATACCCCTGCAGGAAGAGGATGCATGGAACATAAAATTTAAGCCTTGCAAGGCATTCATCGACAATAGAGCCAGTCAGCATTTCCTCACCCCCTCTGATCTCTTTAATAGATCAAGAGAACAAAAACACCTCTCAATAGATAACTTGCACTGTAGTTGACATGTGCTTCTTTATGTAATATTGGAAGGCGAGGAGCTCGGTCCACCACTGCATTATGAAATGTCTTTAAAAGAATAGCTCAAGTTAAAGGAAAGTTATCATTAACTCAGCCTCATGTCTTTCCATACAAATATTACTTTCTATCTTCTGTAGAACATAGAAGATATTTTGAAGAATGTTGCGAACCAAACTGTATTAGTGCCCATTGACCTCCACTGTAAGCGCAAAAATCAACAATGCGATATTTCTCAAAATGTGTTCTTTCTTGTTCCGCAGAGAAAAGTCCGTCATACAGATTTGGAACTAAATATGGTTGAGTAAATGATGACAGAATGTTTATTTTTTAGGTTTTTAGGTGAACTATCCTATTAAAGGATTAGTTCACCCAAAAATGAAAATCCTGTCATTAATTACTCACCCTCGTGTTGTTCCAAACCCGTAAGACCTTCGTTCATCTTTGGAACAAAATTTAAGATATTTTTGATGAAATATGAGGGCTCTCTGACCCTCCCATAGACAGCAAGGTAACTGCCCCGTTCAAGGTCCAGAAAAGTACCAAGATGATCGACAAAGTAGTCCGTGTGACATCAGTGCTTCAACTGTAAAGTTACGAAGCTACGAAAATACTTTTTGCACAAAGAAAACCAAAATAACGACTTTATTCCACATTTTTGTCTCTACTGCGTCACTTTGGATGCTCGCGTCATGGTACTGTCGAGAATGCGCGTCCAAAGTGACGCAGTAGAGACGGAAATGTGGAATAAAGTCATTATTTTTGTTTTCTTTGCGCAAAAATTAAAGAAATTTTTTTATTGTGTTCCGAAGATGAACGAAGGTCTTACGGGTTTCGGACAACACACGGGTGAGTAATTAATGACAGAATTTTCAGTTTTGGGTGAACTAACCCTTTAAGTTCAATCTACATTTTTATTTTTCATCTTCCAAGTGTGTCAGTGTAACCTACTTTTTTTTTTTGGAGCAAAAATGGTAATCAACATGTCATGAATGCTGTAGATTGTACTGTACTGCACTCATTTAATATCGATATTGCATCCATGATCCATTGTAAATAAAAGTTACCATACACTCTTGGAAAAAAAAGGTTCTTTATTGGTTCCATGAAGAACTTTTAACATACATGGAACCTTTCCATTGGACAAGAAGGTATATCTTCCTGTAGGTATATATTGCATTGTATAACATATAGTAAAAATGTTCTTTAGATTATTAAAAACACACTTCACACACTTTTAAAAACTGTTCTGTGGGAATCCAAAAAAAAAAGGTTCTTCTAGGCAATCGCTCCCAAAACCCCCTTTGGAACCTTCATTTTTAAGAGTGTTGAGAAATAAGATGCTTGCGACAGCAGTCAGAAGCCAATTTACTGTATCACAGGAGCATGTAGCCAGTGTGTGATGTGCTCGTGATAACCACAAAGACAGTGTGCAAAGCCAAAGAGCATGATCCATTTCTGAGCCCACTGGCAAATCAAAACAACAAAACCAGCATTGTCAGGTCTGTAATCTCTTTTAAATATGCACCAGATGGCAAGACATCTTTGATAGCATGTTTGGTGAGAGAAAATTATTTTGTAAACCCAGGTCTTTAAAGTTTTGTACTGTTAATTGTCATGATATC